AAATGAAATAGAAGATAAAAATTAACTTACGTGTGGATAATATTATAAATAAAAGAAATAAAAGTGAAAAAAACATTTATATGATTTTTTTTAGATAAAATATAAAAACTATCTTATACGTCCATTTAAGTTTTTAATTAATTATTTGGAATTCGTTTGTAATTTTTTTTTTTTTTTGAAAAATTTGGGACCACATTTGCAATTAATTCTTTATTTTTTCTTCTTTTCTTCTTGTTTTGTTTTGTTTAAAGATGAGTATATATTCGTCATTTCACAATGCTTTATTGAGAAAATGGTAGAAAAATGTTGTATTCCGCAAAGAAAATGTCCTATAGGGGGATTTTCCGCAAAAATGAAAGGATAGAGGAGTATTTCACAATAGAGCCAAAGGTTAGGGGTGTTTTGTACCAATTACCCTTTCTTAAGGTCTACTTCTATTATGGTCTTCTCTATACAAGTTCGCGAACAAGGTTTTCGGAACAAAGCATGGGGCTTCTGTGTGTTCTATAAGTTCAAGGGAGTTTAAAGCCTGCAATGGAAGAATATCTGAGACTCGAATTCGAAGGGCTGTGCACTAACACTTTAAATGGGACATTATCCATTAAGACATAATCAAAATAGGAGACTTGTACAAGCTCAATTAAGGTTATGCACATGAATCCTAAAGCCTAAAGCCCCAACCATATAACGGAGAGTTGCTGTAAGTTGACAGCCAGAAGAAATCTTATCACATCCTATGATATGAATTCTAATGGATTGAAAGGACAGGCCAAAAAGGAGTCCTATCGACCCTAAATTTATCTGAGAATAAGATTTACTTTGTTGTTGTTGGTGCACAAGTAAAAAATGTCATTGAAAGTAGAATTTAACAGGAAACATTGTGGAACATACTTTTCTGTTGATAAACTAGTGGAGATGAAAGAATTGTTACAAATGTCCCAAGAGCAATGATAATCAGGACAATTTTTAATGGGTGGAGCTTGAATCTTGTACTCTTCCCTGCAATGGCAAACCGGAAAGGATTCTCAACACTATTAAATTTGATTTTCTGCACCTTTTTCTTGTATGCATCATCTGTGTTAACAGTTCAACACTTTTAAATTTGATTTTCTGCAACTTTTTCTTGTATGCATCATCTCTGTTAACAGGGCATCTAGACACATGTTAGTATAAACAAGATGAACCGAAATATACTAATCCTTAATAAACAAATAAATAAGAACAGTAAGAACCAGTATTACTTGAATGTGTGTATATATATATATTTGCTCGTTTATGGCATGTTGATATGTTAAATTTGATGACTGGTTATAATTTAAGAAAAATGCCACATGAACAGACTTATTTTGGTTATGCCCATTTCAATCGTGTCTGGTTTGACTTACCAAACAAACCGTTGTGTTATTCTGTCACTTCATCATGTCAATTATCTAAAAGTTTAAGTTGTTAAAAGGGAAATTATATTTTTTATGTAAACATGTCTATTTTAACACATCCCTCATATGCAAATCACAGACACATTTTTTTTTTTCATCGGAGGCAGAATGAATATTGATTTGAGTTCTTTACTACATCTGATATGATACCATATGAAACCTCAGCATCGATAATCTAATGCCCAAAACCTCCCAATTTTTTTCTCGTCAATAGGCATAGGCCTCTAACATGACAAAGTATCTTAAGTTCTTAGAAACTGAATATGCCACATTTTTCGCAAGAAAAAAAGTTCATGGAGGCTTAATGTACTACATAAGATTGAATATTAAGACAATGAATAAGGAGAATCCACGGATAAGAAACACAAGCAATTCAAGAATGAACTCACATTCTTTGTCTAGTATCCATGAGACTTCTGAAACAATTTATCACTGCAATTTCAGTTTGAATTAAGAAATAATTTGATCTGCAATACAACATAGAATCCAGGTCATGACATCATAGGCCGGCAAACTTTAGTAAACAATAACATCATACGGTCGTCTAAAAGAAAAATAGTGCACCAAGAGAGTAGAAACTTGAACACGTGATTCCTTCTCTAGAGCCATTCATACTTACCAAATGCTGGATACAACTCTACAAATTTTACCTTTGAAAACGCCACGACGATTTCCATCCTGCAGAGGAGAGCTTAAGATGAAAAACACGAGTCGAAACTAAAATCTTGTCTTTTAATGTACTATTCCACATGATCTAATACCACGTAGAAGAAAATTTCTGTGACTGAAGAATATAAAGCAAGCAGAGAGTACAGCCTATTAATATGAAAAATCATATATTAAATTCATGTTTGGTAAGGTTATTATATAACATAACAATATCGAGAAAGAAAACGAAACTAAAATCTTGTCTTTTAATGTACTATTCCACATGATCTAATACCACGTAGAAAACGTGCAGTTATCTCTTTCTTTTAAAAGAATAAGAAAATATTTCCTATTGTTAAAAGAAGATAAAAATCCTTTCTAGCTTTGGAAATTTTTTAGGTAATTCTTGGAAAGTTTCATCTGTCTTAATGTTTCTATTTATTTAGGAAAAACCCTCTCGCTTGATTCATGAAAAACTTTTGTTTTTTGATCCTCTTTTCCCATTGGCTATGTTTCAAAAGGTCATATGCCCATCAATAGTCACTTCCATCACTGTTATTTTAGAAGAAGTCATCGTTAAAATATGTGTAAATTTCATTTGTAGTCACTTAACGTTCGACAAAATCTCAATTGGATCATTAAACTTCAATTTATTTTCTAATTTCCCCGTTTCGTCACATGCTTTCTCCAAATTAATGAGGATAATTTAATTAGCAGCCTACCACACTGAATATATTTTAACATTTTAATCTAAAGACGTTGCTATAATCTTTGTTTTACCATTTTCATTTTATGGTATGATAGTCTCGAGGGCGATAGTTTCGAGTGTGATTGATTACGTAATTTAGTAGAATGGTGAAATTAGGAACGAGTGACTCAGTTAAGATAATATAAAGTTTATAGAGCCAACTGAAATTTAGTGATCGCAGATGAAATTTATCTAAGAAACAACTTATCCTTTACGTGGATTTGAAATATAATTTCCAACCAGAAAAGAAATTGAAACTTGAACTCAAGATGTGCCAGTCAAGATACCGTAGGGACACCACCTCAGATGGTGGGAAGGTGAGGCAGTGTTATCGAGCTCCACCACCTATATTTCTCCGAGCAATGCTATGGGTACATGAAATTACCCAGAAAGAATACACACAACAGGTGGGTCCCGATTTTTTTAGCAATATTTAATTCATGTGGGCTCGCCTCCCCTTGTGAGTGAAATTCAAATTTCTGTAGAAAATCTATTTTTTTCCCTGTACTTGCAGCCTTTTTGTATTTCTCCATGATATATGTATGATTTAAAACCTTTAATGTCGCAAAATCAATTATTCCATTTAGATCATATTCTGCAAGATAGAGGTCGATCTGTAGTACAATAAAAAAGGATTTTACATTTTTTCTTCTTCTTCAATATTGTCCATTATTGTAGTGTTCACCATAACAAGTAAGTCATATTTATTTTCTTGAGTAAAACAAATATCATGTTTTTCTTGCCTTTATTTCCATACAAAAACATAATAAAACAATGGGTGTAGTTAATGGTTAGAGTTAATATAACATGTGCAATGTCTTTCCAAATGGCAAAATTGTAATAATCTTTTCTACGTAAATGAGTGAGAATATCTCCTTTGTAACATTTTAAATTTTAAAATTCTACAAGATCTTTCTCTAATCCTAAGTATTTTTTTAATTCAATGTTTTCTAAGTTTAAATGTACACTCGCTCGTAGGCAAACATTATTCGCGTTTGCAAAGTGGTTTTCAATTTAAACCACAATAAGCCTCGTCCCAACATAGATATGATGATAATTCCGTCCCAATTCGGGTATTCTTCAAATTACGGTTTTGAGATTATTTGTGTTTTTCATTTCCTTTTCTGCTACACTAAAATTGAACAAAGTTCGCTTATGGTCAATTGTCCACTTAGTCCACTGCAAAAAACAATGCAGAATCACGCAACGCATGTTGCTGGTGTGCTTCCTACTCGCAAATAAAGTTTTTACATTTTATATAACAAATTTAATATATTTAAATTAAGTTTGCTGGATTAAAACATCAAAAGACAAGAAGCAGGTTTAAATTTAAATTGGAGAAAACTATATATATACTGGACTCTTTTAAATCTAAGATATAAAATTTCTGGCCGCTTCTTGGAATGGAATATATATCCATAAAATCCTTTACTCAGATCCCTAAAAAATATAGAAACTTTTGCAGCTGACATATTTCACCGAGCTAGTTAGCAGGTCAATTTATAATCGTTTGTTTTTAATACCTTTTTGAAGTACTCACATTGCATTTTGTGATGCATATTTCATTTGCTAAACTGCGAACGATGAGATCAAAATAGTGAGTTGAAAATCTAACTCCTCTTTTAGCTTATTTTTGGCCTATATTCAATCTTTGGGATAGGTTCTTGGTATCGTTTTGAAAAACTCATGATCAGATATGCCCCGCATATTTCTAAATGAAAAACCATTAAATATGGCTAATTTTCTGGTCGCTAGAAGTTGTATATATATTGTTATTTCAATTGAATTTGTGAATTGAAATTTTGATATTATTCGTCGAATTTGTATATTGTAGTTCTTGGTATTAATTCAGAGTTAATAAGTGATCATTTTAATCTTTTGAGGAATTGCAAGTTGCAACTTAGTAGTGTTTTAAGGTACTAGTCTTTCGTATTTTCTGTACTTCGGTGTCTTTTCATTTTCATTTTTTAGTCTTTTAAGGTGAAAATACATAGTTCGACCCTAACAACATCTAGAGGTGAGTGAATATGTGATTATGCGGAATTATAATTACTTTACAATTAAATAACAACAAGTCACTATTAATTATTTTCTAGATGGTTAATCATGCAATTCATATTTTCCTATGTTGAATTACCGCAATTATGAAAGCAATAAATAACACAAAATTGATCACGGAGAAACCCAACTGGGTAAAAACTTCGGGCACTTTGCCAATCAACAATTCACTATAAACGATTTGTAACTTACAATCTACCAGATTAGACGACGACATGTACTATCTAATCTCCTCACTGTAATTCCAACAGCTCTCCTGTATTTTGTGCTCCTGCACCAACTCCCCTAGTTGCAGTTTCCAAAGCTCTCCTGAATTACGATCTCTTGTATCAACTCCTAACTTTGTGAAATCGTCTATCCCCTGTGGATTCACAAAGAACACCACGATCTTCAACGACTAGAATTCCAGTAACCTTCCCTTGATCTTCAAAAACTCTGACAGATATGAAGGAAGTAGCAATTTGGTATTTGAATTATGAAATTGATATTTTTTTCACTGCCAAGAATAGATCACTATGTGATTAACGAAGGTTGAAGAGTAATTGATGAAAAGAACATGAAAAGCTAAGTGTTTGCTTAATGATCAACCTTCAAAAAAATATTTTGTGGCATTTGGACATTTATATGTAGGTTAGGGAATGAATGAGTCGGAAAAAAAACCTTTAAAAAACGAATTAAAAAATTCCTG